AATAAAATGTTTTTTACAGAAAAAATAATAAAATGCTTTAGAATATATTCGTCCTAACTCAGCTGCCAGGGTAAAAAAAAAGTGTCTGTTTGCTATATCAAAAAAAAATGGACTGTGGCATTATAAAGCACCATCTCATAGCTATCTATGCTCAAGTTCAATTCCCAGGCCAAATTAAACCTTCAGGTTTATTGTGAAGCTGCCTGAAAAGGAGCATTAAAGGTAATGCTTCAACTTGACTCAGGCAGTCAGTCATGTTTCAGGTTACAAAATTATTTCACTGACATACCCTCTGCTGTTTTAGTGACTGCCAGGGGTGTTCTGCTGCCAGGCCATGTGCACACTGCCTGCCTCTGTCTGCTTGCAGCAGATGTGGCTGCAGGAGAGGAATGCCCGAAGGACAGAGGGTTAAGGGGAGAGCAGTGAGCAGCTGACTTCTGAACACTGAGCAATGTCCTTGCCTATCTAAAGGCAGAAAAAAATTTTCTTTCATCCCTGAATATAACTGACAGTATCCTGAACAAAGAAAGATGATACACCAACCTGGGAATAGGAGGGGACTCTGTAAAGTGAGGATCTGATATCCTGTCACCAGCTGCCACCAGGTGTTGATACTCTAGAGGGAAGTACACAATAATTAATCACACTCCCAGCAGTCAAATTAGGCACTGAGAAAAAATGGTCCTCCTGACCCAGGAGAAAACCAGCCAAGTTCTGAAGTATGGCATTTTGTTGTAACCTTGTCCAGGTAGCAACATGTGTTACAATACATGGAAAGCACTGCAAGTCATCTTGTTTTTTCAATCTAGGGAAAAATGCAGGTGAATGGAGTACAGTCCTTCCCCCTTATACACACACTGGAAACATCCTCCACCAAAGCAAGTGAAAGCACATCTTTGAGAAGAAAACCTCAGCAACTTTAAAAACTCTCAGCAACTGCAAATCCACTACAATCCTTTACTGACCTCGTTGCTACTGATTATTTCAAAGTACAACATGCCTAACTTCATCTCTCAGACACTGTATAGTCAAGTAAATATCATGCATTTTCCTTACACACGTGAATGATATATACAGGCACCATTTTCTCTCTCAGATGTACAACCTGCAATTGTGACATGTGGTCTCCAAACCCTGGATCACTTTTGTCACTGTGCTCATATTAATATTTCACATCCTTCCTCATGTGTGAGCAGTAAAACCAGACATGGAATTCCTGTGATCTTATTAATGCCATGTACTTTCATACTTCTGTGCAATATTTTTATTGCTACACAGCCAAGACCACACTTCAGTGGCAGCATTGCAATGAAAACTCCCATTAAGATGATTCTCTGCACAAATTCTTAAGCCTTCTTTTAATAAATCAGCAGTTTGAGGACAGTCCTCTATCGTGCTGGTGTAACTACAGTCCTGGTTCCTTTGTATGTGGCTGCATGAAAAATGGCTTCTGATAGATGCTGATCATTTAAGAAAATTATTTGGAGTATCACGTACTAGTAACTTGTTCCACGCATGCACAAACCTGCAAATAATATGGTGGTATTGATGTGATATCATCACAAAAGCTGCGAATATATTGATATTAACCAGCCTTACACCAAGATCCAGCCCCCAGGGAACCTCACAAGAAACAGCTGCACTCCCATAGAAGAAAGGCACGCCTAAGTGCCTCCCTAAACTAAGAAAGATTTATGAAGCAACTTTGCCAATGTTTGTGGTATTTATTCCACAGTGACTCCATGGCACAATTGTTTTAAACTCACACTTCACTGCAGACTTAATAGATATATCAGGAACACAATATAGGGTGAGTCTGCTACAATAGAGCAGTTGATGAATAGCTTAGGAATTTGGGAGATGTGGGTTTTTTACAATTCAAAACGCTTGGAAGCAATTTGCTTTAGTTCTACTGTAAACTGGTCTTTAACAATCGTTAAGTCATTTTGAAATATTCAGAACGAGTAAGCTCTGGCTTGTCATTTATTTCAGAGGCTCCATTTTAAAGTTTTCAATTTTTCAGCCAGGAAAACAACAATGAATAATGTACGGAAAATCATTCATAGCATTAGCCAAAGATTAGGTTCCTTTCTCTAAGGAAAAAAAATCCAACAAACCAAAAGAACAGTTAGTAGACCAGGTAACCAATCAAATAACATTGTAATTCAGCAGCATATTTCCATGTACACAGGACTGGTGAAGCTTGTAGCATCGCCTTCAGGCAGCTGCTGAACACTTCCAATGCAAGATGCTGCTTCCAGCTGCTTGTAACTTGGCCAGACTTTGACTGCCTGGGTTGAAATTTTCCAAGCTGAATGTCTGCCTCAGGCTAAATTTTGTTCCATGTGCTGTAGAAGTTACCTCTGAGTGAGGGGTGCAGAAAGAGGCAGACTGGGATTAGAAGAACTCAGCCAAAATACTTGAGCTGTTTTCAGAACAAAACCAGGAAAAATGCTGTCTCCCAACAGCAACAGGCCTCTGGCAAACTTGGAAGGCTGTAACGCTCTTCCATCCCCTGATGACAGATCGCAATGAAGGGTGGAGCCCATACATTGGAGGTCCCCCTTTTGCTGCCCTCATGAAAAGTCCACCTGCATTTGGTCAAATGTCCAAATCCAAACTGCACTGTGTGCATTTTCAGTAGGTGTTTGATAGGCCACATCCACATTGTTCCCAGCTCCTCATGGTGATCAGACAACAAGGGATATGAACAAGTACAGCAACAGAGACCACAGCCACGACCTACCACCATTGGTTACCCTCAACAGGGGGCTCTGACAGCAGAGTCCCAGGTGTTACATTAGGAATCCAGCTAATGAAGGACAGTGACACAAATATGCTACCCTACGCTGCCTATCTGCTTTTTGGCGCTTTTCCTATGGGAAAGAAAATATAGGAAATTGCTTATAAAATGCAGTATTAAAAACATGATAAGCAAAGCAGAATTTAGAAATTATTAGAATTGGTCTACAGTAACTAAAAATGTCTCCTAGCGCTCATATGCATCAATCTCTAATTAGATCAATCTGTATTTGCAACTGACCTGGTCACATTTTTTCCCACTGAAGCTTTGCTATAATTAACACACAAGCTCCTCTTTTTGCCCTTGTTCTCTAGAGCATCAGCACACACTTTCAAATCGCAGAGGAAATTATTTCTTTTTTCTCAGGTTCTTATATGGTTCTCATTACTACAATAATCTGTAAGATGAAGGATACTGTTGTCCATATATTTTTAATATGGGAAACTAAGACAAAACCACCGAGTGAGCAATTCTAACACTCAAGGGCTTGTATTTCTAACATGCTTATACATGAAAAACATCTTCTGTACACAGAGAGCAAACAGACACTCACTTATGTTCCACGTGGTTAAGTTTAGCTTAACTGTGAAGCAGATCCCAGGGACTCAGGTCAGGCTCCCAGAAAACCCATAAGACCATGGGCAAAAAACTTTCACGTTTATGTGGAAATCAACAGCAAAGGCTGGGGCTGCAAAATCCGATGCTCCAGCTGTCTCAGCTACGAAGCTGCCTCCCCCTCTGTGTACAGTTGTTTGCCTCATTCTTGTTACCTCTTCTCTCTGCTGCCCAGCTGCTACACCTTGGGGGACGCACCTCTGGTCCTGAGCTGGCCGGGAAGGATGCAGGCACATCCTGTCACGACCAACATCATCGTCGGGCACAGGCCCGCGGCAGAGAGACGAGCCCGGCATCCTGAGCACTTGGCTTTGTAAACTTACCGACGGGGTAGGGCTGGGCACAGGGGAGAGGTGGTAAATGTATAGAATATATAGAGATCAGCGACATCCACTGGGTGGCAGGCATGTTTCACGGGATCTAAATTCAGTGTGTATACAGAGGTATACAAAACGAAAGTTCCTAAATATTGGACTTGCTCCCTCTCCCAGAAGCAGCAACTGAACGGACGCGGTAAAAAGAAGAAAAAAAGCTAAAAATCCCATAGAGGGAAGTTAACGTGTTCTGCCTTGACTTTAACACCAGCTTCTTGTCCGCGGTGCTGAGGCATTGGAACTGCCCTGGCACTCGGGGGCTAGAGCTGTGCAGACACACCGTGTCCCATGTCCCTTCTGTAGGTGGGTGCCCTCACTCGAGGTAGCAGGGATCCTGTAAGAGTCTTCAGAGTCTCTGCTGCACTAATTAATGACCAATGCCTACAGAGGCAAAGCCTTTAAACTCTTCCCCAATTTCACAAACTCGGGGGGGAAGGAATTTGTTTGGACTAACAGCTGTAAATGAGTCCATGTGTAAGCAGCTAAACTTTAAACTTGAAAGAAACATAAAAGGCAGTATTTTCCATGGATTTCCACTTAGGATCTAAGCAGAATCATTTCAGAAGTTGCTTAGACGAAGAGGAGGCCGTCAACTGAATTTTAACCCGGGGCATATATTTATAGCCATGTTGCAAACTACATAAAAAGTACACTTATAATGGAAATGCTGACAAATGCAAAACTCCTGCAGCTAGCTATGACAATCTGACCACAAGCCCTCCTTGTGAGAGGAAAAGGCAACCTCCTCACCTCCCTTCTCAGCCAGCTCGACAGCAAGCCAGGGCGAGGGGGTGCTAGGTACAGGTACCACTGCCCTGCCCTTAAAGGATCGAGGCAACTCTTACTCCCCGTATTTCCCACATGTTGAATGAGCCACCCCTCTGTTTCTGCCATAAACAACCGGAGGGCCTCTTACAGCCATGACTCACTCCGCAGGCTTCTCCTCCACCCCTGTGCGTGACTGTAGCAAACAGGCTGCCAGCTGCAGCCGGTGAATTAACACGACTTTTTTCGCAGAACCGTGGGGAGATCAGTCACACAGGGCGGGGCGGGGGGGGGGGGGAAAGAGCGGGGGG